GATCCCCCAAGGATAATGGAGGTAAGGCACGAGATATAAACAACCCAGCCTTTCCCCAGCCAACAGGCCTGGCCTGAGTAACCCTAGCACCACCCTGCTCTGAGAGCCCCACCTCAAGGGTAGAGGAGGGAGAGAAGTTTAACCTCTGGTATACCAAAGGGGAACAGAGCAGGGTGCTGCAGGCCTGGGCTGCTGTCCAACAGATATATGCTTGCCCTGACCTGTGCTGGCTGATGCCTCAGCTAGTGCCTGCAGGGAGCCTGCTGTGGCCTATGCCTGAGTATGCAGGAAACTCCCTTTCCCCCTAGCCTCACCTGTAGGGTAGACACACCCCAGGCTTATGACCCCTGGTAGGAGTTCAGATTTAGGGAAGAATTAGTGACTAATACAGAGCTGGGAGGCAGAAGATTGGGTCCCCTCAACCCTCAGGGAGCAAAATTGAGGGGAACTCTAGGGCAAGATAACAGAAGAGTGGGTGGCAGAGAGGTGGGGAGAATCCACAGCCAAGAGCTCTGGGATAAATCCCACTGCCTGATGAGTCTTTCAGAAGGGTAGGCAGGTGTAAATATTCACACCCACAACCTCCAACCCACACCCAATAGTTAAAAGTAGAGACTTAGTAAAAAAGGGACTTTCCTGGAGTCAGGAGAGCAGAAAGTCCTGGAAAGGAGGTGCCTGTATCCCTCTTCTCTAAGCCTAGGCTTTCTTCCCTCACAGGGGCAGATTCTGAGCAAAGAAAGAACCACAGAGACTATGAGGTCGGAACCACAGAAGAGAGGACTCTTGTGTCTGCGGCTGGGTGGGGGAAGAAAGGCTGAGTGCCAGACAGGCCAACTCGAGGAGAGGGCTGGAAGGAGAGGGCTGTTCTGAAGCTGGTGCAGGACTAGGGAGGCCTGGTGAAAGGAACCCAGCTGCTTGAGGCCTGGGCCACCCCAGCTCTTCCTCCAGATTGGCCTGGAGAGGGAGGAACTATGTTGAGTCCAAGAACTCAGTTGGTTAGCTTGTCTTGAAAACTGAGTTGTGCAAGGTATTTTCCTAGGGCAGTGATTTTCAACTTTTTTCATCTGTTGGCACACATAAACTAATTACTAAAATTCTGCACCACACCAAAAAAAAGTATTTTTTGCCGATCTGAGCAAAAAATAGGTATAACTTTGATTCATTCATACTGGATGGCTACTGTCATTTTTTAATTTGACAGTCTAAGGGAAAAGAGGTCCCTGTCCCTGTCTAGTCAGGTATTGCATACTTTTACATTCTTGCAGCAGGGCAGTATGCCTTGGGCAGTGTGCCTCAGCACCTCAGCAGGGCAGTTGAAAATCTTGAAAACCATTGCCCTAGGGGAAAGTCAAGGGAAATGGTCCCACCTTTGGCCTAAGAGTTGTGTGTGTATATGGGGAGGGGGGGGCAGGGGGATCTGACTCCCCAGCGGCCTTGGATGGGAGCCTCTGGGCCTGCTCCTCCCTCCGCCTCCAGAAGCAAATGGTGGTTCTGGCACTGGGACTGCCCATGACCCACTAAAAGCCGAAGGAGGGCTGCTACCCCTCCCTTAGGGGGCCTAATGGGGCAGGGGAAGAAGGAAGGCAGGGCAGGCGATGTTGGCAGTGGGCTGCCCCTCAGATGCCCAGGCTCCTTTTGTTGGGAGCTCTCCTCTCAGGCCTCAAATGAAGACTCCACGCCTAGAAAGAGGATGCCTCCTCCTCCTGGCCAGTGCCAGGATTAGCCAGCCAGAGGACAGACTTTCACATTTCCTGGTCACCCCTATTCCTAGGGCCACCCTTTTCCTTTCAGCCTTAGACCCCTTCAGGACAGAGAGTGTGTTCTTTCTGCAGATGTGTCCTCTAGGGGTGGAACCAGGGCGCTGAAGGGGTTGGAGGAAGCCAAGTCCAGATCCCTTCCCCCTTCTCGGGCCCTTCCCAGACCCTCCTGACCGCACCCAGGCACCCAGGCAGGGCTGAGTGGGTTGGGATGTCCCAAAATAAGAAGCTGATCAAATCCGTCTCCCACCTTCACTCCAAAATAAAAGAGAGAGAGGAAAAACCTCCCCAGACAACTCCCACGCGACTTCCTCCCGGCCGGGTGGGCCAACGTCGGAGAATGGGTGGGGGGTCGCCGGAGTCCGTCGAGACCTGTGCGGGCGCCCGGGCCCAGGCCCTCTCCCCACTCCCGCGTGCGTTGTCCCCAGCCTCGGTGCAATTAACGCAGTAAAACAATGAACAAAAACAACAAAAAGGGCCTAAAGGCGCCGACGGGGGAGGGGGCGGGGGAGGCGGCGGCCCCACCGAGCCCCCGCTCACAAGGAGAGCTTTGTGTGGACGGAAAGGCGGCCAGGGCGCCAGCGCCCCGACCCTCGACGCCAGAGCTCTGGGGCCGGGACCCAGAGGGGTCCTCTCGCGGCGGCGGGGGTCGGGGCCGCTCCGCTGTCCACCCGCGACCCCACCTGGGCGCGGATGCGCGGGTGGCGGGCTGCGGCCGCTGCGTGGGGGCCGGGACCCGGGTCTCCTGCGCCCTCCCCGGGCCGCCCTGGCGCCCCGAGCGCGGGAGAACTGCAAAGTTGAAGAAACAACAAACTCTCGCACATGACAAGAAACCGAGACAGCGCGGGGTCTGAGCAGAGTCCACGTATTTATCAGGCTCCCAACTAGTTCCAGAGCTGAGCTCAGAGCCTGGAGGAGTCGGGGAGGGTGGCGAGTGGCTCTGGTTGCAAAGTTCTTCCGAGGAAAGGAGTGGGGAAGAAGGTGGCGGCGGGGGCGGGGTGGAGGGGCAAAAGTTGGATAGACTTGGAAGTTCGGAGATGAGGAGGGAAAGGAAAAGGAGGGGACCCTGCAGGCCGGAGCCACCGAGACCTCGGGAGCCCTCCTCTCCGAACGGGCTGTCCCCTCGGAGACCCCCGGGCTCGCCTCCTCGGCGGCACGACTCCGGGCGGGGCCGGAGGAGCTCACTTACTTCGGGGCTGAAGCTGCTTTGGGCCGAGCAGCGGGAGGCGAGCGCGGTGGCGAGCGCGAGCAGGGGGAGCAGCAGGCTGCGGGCGGGCCGTGGGGCGGGAGACATGGTCCGCGACCGTCCGAGCAGACCGGCCGAACGGCTCCGCGGCGGGGCCCAAGCCCTGGGGTCGCGCCGCCACTCCCTCGGGCGCCTTTGTCTTCGGGAGGCACTGGGTTTGGATTCCTAGAGCGCTGTCTGCTTGGAGATGAGGCAATTGTTCTTGAAAGCGCCTGTTTGCTCGTCCCCTCTACTCCGTTTTTTGATCTTTCTTCTGCTTAGTCGGCGAACTGGATCGCGAGCCCTCTCTCGCTCTCCTCTGGTCCCTCCCTTCTCCCACAGCCTCTCCTCCGCCCCCGCCCCAATGCCCTCCTTTCCCGGTGCGGACGTGGTTGTTTCAGCCTGAATCCAATTACAGCCAAGAGCCCGTTTAAAAAAAACAAAACACACACACACACGCAAAACACAAAACCAAACCGAAGTTGACTTTCTGTGGTGAAGGCCATCTCCAGGGATTGAGGCCACAGCCGAGGGCAGGGGACTAGGGGGGGAGGGGGACTCCGGAGACGGGATGTGGGAGACTTTCTCTCCCTAAGCATATTTTGGATGGCTTGATTCCCCTGGTATTCAGCGTTTGTCTCACCTCAGAGTGGGAAGTTCTGGGAGGCTCAGTGACTGGCGCAAGCAAATTTAGAGTCTGGGTTGGGGTCTTCACGTCCTGAGACCTGGGTTGGGGGATTGTCTGTTGAACCCTTGTCTCTTATTCTTGACAACTACCTCTGTCCTTGTTGCAAAAAAAAAAAAAAAAAAAAAAAGGCAACAATAACAAAACCCAACTACTCATCAACAAACCTACAACCACACTGGATCTGGGGAGTCCCATCCTTGTAGAAAAACAAATGTGCTCTCTTTATTATACTACTTGAAGTCTGGCTGCTCCTTAAATTAGAACTGGCTGGGGAGGAAAGGTGTGCAAGGCCGCAGACTCTGGGAAAAAGCAAATCAAGTTTGGTGCAATTGTTAAAAGAGAGATCGGAAGTTGGGACTTTGGGGTTTAGTTTCCTTCACTGGAAAAGGAGGCAGTTCCTTTAAGGGTAAAATCTTCAAGGACTGACTGGTCTCTTGAGAACAAAAGGTGGAGGTATGCAGGGAAGGGGGAGGGCAGGCTAAAGCTGACTAAGAAAGAGAGACAGATAAGAGGTTGAGAACTAGATCTGGAAAAGCACAACAGAAGCAGGAAAAGTGTGGGAGACAGAAAACTCGACCATCAGCGAAATCTAAGACCCAAGAATTGCACTGGTCAGCGAGAGGGGAAGGAGGTATTAGGGGTAAGAAGGGAGGGAAAGAAAGCAAGGGAAGGAATAACGTGGAAGCTGGACAGAAATGTGGTCAGGTAGGAAGTTCCAGAAATCCTAGAGATCCAAGAACTAAAACAAGTTTGTGGCATGAGAATGAAAAAAAAAAAAGTCCAGTGTTCTGTGTTGTAGAGGGAGCAAAGGTCCTTTCCACCCGAATCCATGATCAATAAAATGAAAGGTTTTCCTGGGTCTTGGGGGCAGCTACTACATTTGTGGGAGGTATGTGGGGAATAACTATCTCACAGTGACTGTTTGGGGATTGAGTACCTCTTGGGCTCCCTACACAAATTTCGGTCAGGAGGGCAGCCCACTCTCCAATCAATTTCTGAAATTTATTTGTTTTTTATTTATTTATTTTTGTGGTACGTGCCCCTAGTGGGAACTGAATCTGGGACTCTCTGGTCCACAGGTCAATGCTCAACCGCTGAGCCAAACTGGCCAGGGCAATTTCTGAAATTTAATCAGAACCACAGAAACCTCAAGATCCAAATTTTTTGAACATGCAACACCCAAGTCTGGTTCTCTCCACATTAGCCTTCCCAGTTGGGGTATCCTCTTGGGCCATGTCGTTTAGAAAAACTGACACCAGTTGCTTGCTAAAAAATGGACCTCAGCTGGAAAGTCTTTTTCATCAAAACATTTATTAAATGTGTAACTGTACAAAGGCTGGGCTGTGTATAGGCTTTTCAAGGCTTGAATGATGGCCAAGACCAAAAGAACTGCTGTCCCCTTTTCATGTTTGCAGAGCAGTAACTGCTCAGTTGGGCCAGCCCTATAACCTGCAAAAGGGGTGAATATTTCAGAGCAAGATTCCCCTGAATTGGAAGGGGGCCAGGGGTAAGGGCATGGAGCCAACCCTTCTAAGGAATGCTCTTACAGCCTGTTCTTCTTGGTGTCCTGCTGGGATGAGGCATCTGGGTGATAGAAGAGAAAGTCAGAGAGACACTGGGAAAGGGAGATAGGAAGAGTTGTGCTTTTTAAAAATATGTTTTTATTGATGTTTTGAGAGAGAGAAAGAAACATGAATCAGCTGCCTCCTGCATGCCCCACACTGGGGATGGAGCCCGAAACCTGGGCACGTCACAGTCCATGGGACAACACTCTATCCACTGAGCAACCCCAGAAGGGTGAGGAGTTGCTTTTTATTGACTTGGTAGTGGGCTCTGTAGAGCAGCCCCTTTAGGTTTAAGAGCATTTTTCTTCTTTCTTTCTTCTTCTTGCAACTTCTCCTGCTGCCTGAGCTGCCATGCCCGTAACCCAGCATCCATTTCCTGTGACAGCAGTACAACCCGTCTCTGAAACAGACAGGAAAACACTGTGGATAACATCTGGGGCTTGAGCTGTGCACCATATATCCTTTCACTCACAGATCAAAGTCAGAGGTTTCAGCTGGAAAATGACACTGCTGACTAGGGAAAGGGTGGGACCAGGTCCTGGGTTGGGAAGCAGGAGGAAAGTAGTAAAATGTGCAGCAGAATGTCTACTACTGGTTCCTGCCCTAGGAGTACCCCACTCCATGCCACCCTTCTCACAGTACTGTTAAAACCTTTGGCCGTTAAAACTTTAGTGTGAGGGGTACACGTAAGCTAGCTTAGGTGCCAATACAGCTCCAGACAAATTACGATTTCAACTTTCTCCTTCAGATTACATTCGTATTGCCCTGGCTGGGGCTCCAGCCACTCACTGCAAACTTCTCCCTTTGGGCTTTTCTTCGAAGCTGGCCTTTCATGGGAGGAGCAGGGCGGCCATCTGTAGATAGAAGAGAGAAAAGGCAAATGTTAGACATGGCCTGTAGCACCCAGAAATGAGGGGAAAACCAATTTCTAGCTCCTTTCTTCCATTTCATACCCACTGTTAAATTCTCCTAAAACATGTCCCTCATGTTTAAGGGTGAAGTATGCCAGAACCACCAAGAATAAGCTCCTAGGCATGTTCCTACTCTATTTCACTTACTTCTCATTAGCCTGGAATTCAAGGTTCTTTACAATGCTGAATTACCTGTTTTATCTTCAGAAACCCTCCACTCCAGCAAACTAATCACTGTTCTACTCACCAGGAGTCTGCTAAATTCCACCTAACTCCATACTGAGACAAATACCTCTTGCCTTTCCTTCTAGCCAAATTCTCATCCTTAGACCCACCTCAAATCTCATCTATCCCAGAAACCCTTCTCTAACCTCTTCAACTCTCTTCTGAAAGAACTGCATTATCAGTCATTTAATATTCATCTATTTGCCTTGGGACATTTATTGTACTATTTTTTTATTTTTTATCCTCACCTGAGGACATTTTTTGATATTTTGTTTAGATAGAGTGGGAGGGAGAGAGAGAGAGAGAGAGAGAGAAACATCGACGTGAAAGGGACACATCAAGTGGTTGCCACTCACATGACCCAACCAGGGCCGAGGACAAACTGCAACCAAGGTACGTGTCCTTAGTGGGAACTGAACCCCGGTCTCTCCAGACCGCAGGCCAATGCTCTAACCGCTAAGCCAAACCAGCCAGGGCTGTACTATTGTTTTTATCCTTATTTAGCCATATCACATCCTTTTGGAAAGGAGCAGAGCACTGAAGTGTTATCACTTAATTTTTAAAATGCCCATGCTTTGTTTTCCTAGCTAGACTTTAAGTTCCTTGGGATTACTAAGCTTTTTTAATGGATCAGTGTAGTGTAGACACATATACACATAATAAAAATTGGGTAAATATCTGCAGATTTGCCAAAAAGATGCAGTATCTCAAATAGTTTATAACAAAGTTGAAGAGAAAGGGCACTTTTAACAAAGAAACAAGTAGTGAAAACTCTGCCCAAAAGTTTAAAGGCAAAACAAGTCAGAGATATATATTATTTATAAAATAATGTTTATTTTATCCTTACAAGAACCATATGAGGTAGGTATTTTTTTACAGATGTGGAAACTGAGAGATACAGTTAAGTAAATTGTCCAAGACCCCAAAAGTTAGCAAGTAGAGAAGCCTGGATTAAGAATCAATTCCACAGTCTTTCCAATATTCCATACTACTTGAAGAAGATTCTAGACTTCCTACAGTAAATAACAAGTAGAAAAAATCTTCACCATCCTCCTCAGGCACCAAGTATCTGATTAAGCAGGATCATATTCCTATATAATCCAACAGGGTATTGAAACTCAGTTCTCTGTGCTGTTGAAGGGGGCCTGGCCTCTGCCCAATTCTAGTCCTGGCTTTGCTATTATTACCTAGTGGGTGATCACAGGCGATTCACTTTTGTGGGCCTCAATTTTCCCACCTGTAAACTGGAGTCCCATAAGGGGCATGAGGAGGAGTGGTTTCAAGTTTTCTAAGGTCCTTTCTGCTAGGGCTATTTTGTTTGTTTGTTTTCTTAAAGTAAAGGGAAAGACTTTTCTGAAGGGCGGCCACCATCCTCACTTTTCTACTCTTCTCTGGAGATGCTCATTTAGGCAGCCTTTCCAGGAGCTCTGCCTGCATTTGGTACCAAATTCTCAATAATGCACTCACCACACAAGAGAACGGTTCTTCCTAACTAAGAGCCACGTCCTCCTCTGAGAAACTGAAATCAGAATTGTCTTCTGCTTATCTGCACAAGCCAAAAAGATCCTGTCTAGCTTTATTTTCCATAGGGGTAGTTTATTTTACAAAATAAACAATAGGGCTGCTTCCTCCTATAAAGCTCAACAGGCTTACTCAGACACACCCCCACCCCGACACCACCTCCCACTGCCCCGCTCAGTCCTGGGGCGGTCTCTCTGGGTGACACTCTCCCAAGTAGGGTTAACTGTCATGCTCAGCGCTCACCCGCGTAGGACCAGTCTGGGAGCTCCGTCAGGGGCCCGTAGCCGGAAGGGTTGGCAGCCAAGCCCTGCCTGAGGGGAGAAAAACAGCCCGGTTAGGACTCAGCACAGCTTCTGGCCCCCCAGATCCCCCAAACCCGCACTCACTGGAGTCTCCACTGGCCGCCCGCCCGAGCCGCCGCGCTGCTGTGCAGCCTCCGAACACCTGCCGGGAAAACAGGGCATAGATGGGAGAGACGCCGTGCTACTAGCTCAGGGGTCCCGGCCCGCCCCCGCGGGCTCCCGAGCCTAAGGACCCTACACCCACTTACTAGACAGCAGAGTACCCAAAGCAGCCATGCTGAGGCCGAGGAACCGGAAGTGGGCGTGGCCGCGGTGGCCACGCGCGACACTTCGAGGGAAGCAGGAAGCCGCCATCTTGAACCTGGTTTTCAACCACGGGCCCCGCCATCTTGGGTCGTTGTACGGAAGAGAAGGACAAAACTGCTGCTGGTGTTTGGACCAGAACGGTCGTTGCTCGTTCGTTGTGTGCATCCTCAGGGGTGACAGCTCAGTGGAAGTCGTATCCTCCAGGGTCTGTTTCCACGACTTCCCTGCAGCAGTCTCTGGTTCTTGGAAATTTATCTAACTTTTATCTCAGTGGAGTAACAAACACATGACCTCATTCTGTCTTCTCCCTCCTCGTTGTAACATTTTTCGCAGCCTGAGAGGCAAACCTAGAGTGAAAAAGAAAGTTTGGGTTTCAGTTCTAACTCATGTGTACAACACAATTGAAGAGCCATGCGACAAGCACTGTATTAAGCATAAGAGATTCTATGGAGAACAAGACAGACATCATCATCATTATTATTATTTTGCAATTTTTATTAATTTATTTTTGTTACAGATGTTTCTTCTCCTTTCCCCTCCCACAACCTCCTCCCGGTCCCGCCCCTGCCATTATTATTTTTTAAAAAAGATTTTTAATTGATTTTAAGAGAGGAAGTTAGAGAGGGAGAGGGAAACATGGATCCATTGGTGCTGCCTCCTGCACACCCCTCACTGGGGATCAAGCTGGAAACCCCAGGGCACGAACCCTGACCAAGAATCCAACCGGCAGCCTTTTTAGTGCACAGGATGATTCCCAACCAACTGATGTCAGCCAGGGCCAGACATCATTGTTCCGATGGAGCTCCCAGTCTGTAGAGAGAAGACAGTAATCAGATCATCACACATCACTGTGATATTACAGCTGAGATAAGAGCTGGGAAGGGACGTGTGTGATGTTTGTGAGCATATAATGAAAACTTGATCTAGAGTAGGTTGTCAAGGCTTTTTTGAGGAAGAAGTACTCAAGCTAAGATCTGATTCCATTTTTATAAGAGCTAAGAGCTATCACCACACATTATCTAATATAATCTTTGCAACAACCTTGTGAGGTAGGTACTAGTAAGTGGCAAATCCAGATCTGTGACTCCTTCCTCTTTTTTTTTTTTTTTTGTGGTACATGCCCCTAGTGGGAACTGAGCCTGGGACTCCCCCCTGGTCCGCACGCTGATGCTCAGCTGCTGGGCCAAACTGTCTAGGGCTCCTTCCTCTTTTTGAATCACTTACTTGCCTTGGGTAAGTCATTTATCCCTAATTTCTTCATTTAAAAAAAAAAAAACTTAATATATCACATGTATGCAAACATTAAATTTTTTAAGGAAAGAGAGAAACATCAATTTGTTGTTCTACTTATGCATTCATTGGTTGATTCTTGTATGTGCCCTTATGGGGGGATCTAACCCACAGCCTTGGTGTAGGGGGACAGACCCTCTAATCAACTGAGCTACCCAGCCAGGGCTGTGCAAACATTTTAAGGATGATAATGTAAGTGAACATGCTTACAAATGGTGAAGCTCCTACAAAAGCGCCCTTTACTGTGTGCTAGGCTAGACACTTAAACACGTGCTGACTAGAGGAACCTGAGGGATTGGTGTCATTTCCTTCTGCAAGACTGGGAAGTTTTTCAACAGGAGGTGCCTCTGAGCTGTGCTTTGAAAGAGGGGAAGGCTGGATCCTAGTTTAAGAAGTAAGAGAAGCTATTTCAATAACAATGAGAATAGTATAGGCCAGGGCCGAACCAGAAGAAGGGAAGGGAACAAAAGAAACTTGGCTATAAGCCAACAGATGGACCCAAAAAAACTAAGTAAGGGAAATAAGACAATAGAGTATTATTATCGTTGTACATTCATTTTTCACTCATTAAAAACCACTTGTATATAAATGACTTCATACAATTTTCATAATAAAACTATAAAGTAGATAAGACAGTCCAGGAAGCAATCATTGTACAGATTGCTTGTAGTTTTCAGAGACCAGGAAATTGAACCAAAATATGGCTGTGGATATATTGTTTTACAGTTGCAATAACAAAAGGGTGACACCTTTCCTAAGCTGGGCTCCATGTGCCTTTGGTTGGTTCTGAGATAGACAGCTGAGGCAGACAGCACTGGAATCCCATTATATAGTTTACAGTTCAGGAATCAAATAGTAGAAGCCAAAGGTTGGGGAAAATAACCTCAGTGTCAACATTCAAGGTTGGTGAGAAAGATGACAGGCTGGCACTACCACCAATGCTATATCTTTATAATGTTTATAAAACTGAACCAGCAACATTATTGTACCAGCTCACATAGTAGGGGGACACCATTGGTTTGCGAAATAAAATTTAAAAAAGAGCACATGCATTAAGGTGTACAAATAACGTGGACAATATGAACTCCACATGCAGAAGTAAACACGTCATAATTTAATAGCTGTGGGAGTCAAGGAGCTAGAGCTGGAGAACTTTTGGGGCAGGATGGGAAGTTTGACCAGGAAACTGGGAAATCTGGTAGGGGAAAGGTCTTGGGAAGGAAGACAAGTTCAACCTTTGACGTGATTGTTTTGATGTGACAGGGGGACAACCCATGGATTGTAAATAGCAGGAAATGTGAGTTAGGATTTTGAGAGAGAGAGAGAGAGAGAGCGAGAACACTAGTGCTGAGAGCTAACATCATCAGCATTCTCAGGGACCTCATGGAACACTTGCAAGGGAGGGGTTTGGCACTTGGACAGCTCTCCTCAATGACTTCATCAGACTCATAAGCCACAGGAAAGTGGCTTCAGCATCCCAAACTAGATGTCTTTCGACCTCTAGAGTTCATCTGGCAAAGGCTGGAGTTAAGAGCAATGGGAAGCATCAGGAATCTGAGTTTCATGTCTTCCTACTTTTTAACTCTTTTGCCTCTCAGGGGCGTCATGGCCTGTATTTGTCTTTAACATTTTGTTACCACTCATGTTTTATCCAATATATTTATCCAAATATCCTTCTGTTGTGTCTGTATACAGTAATTTTTGTACAAGTGCATTGCTCTGGGAAATTAGGTGCTTTTTAAACTTGTGTGATAAATAATGATGATGTTGGAGAAAGAGCGTAAGTGACACTGACTCTGGGTTGGCAATGCCACCTAATTTTGCATGCTCTTCCCCTTTTTGCATGCTTATGACCAAATTCAAAGGTTTGGGAAGTGCCTTATTTCACATTTTTTCATTACCTTCCTTCTTTGGACAGCTCAAGATAAGTCACTGTCACCCCCAGCAAGAAGTGTGGGAAGTGACAGCTATAAACCACCCACTCACACAATCCATTACTTTGCATATTATTTTCTTATTATTTATATAATTTATTGTAACATGTTCCTTTTCTTTTCCCATGGCTATCAAATCCTTACTAAATCAGTAAACCTCGGGCTATGCTATTTTTTTTTGCCTGAAGCTTTGAAGTCTTAAGCTGTGTGCCTTTCCACCAGATTGGTCTTGAAGGTGAGTGGTTCTCTGTGCATTTCTGCAGAGTGGCAATGTTGACTTTAAAAATGCCAAAGTAGCCCTGACGAGTTTGGCTCAGCGGTTAGAGTGTCGGCCTGTGGTCCATAGAGACCTGGGTTCGGTTCCCACTAAGGGGACGTAGCTCAGTTGCAGTTTGTCCCCGGCCCTGGTTGGGTTGTGCAGGTGGCAACCACTCGATGTGTCTCTTTCATGTCGATGTTTCTCCTCTCTCTCTCTCTCCCTCCCACTCTATCTGAACAAAAAAAAAAAAGAAAAAGAAAAAATATCCTCGGGTGGGGATTAAAAAAAAAAAAAAAACCAAAGTAGCCCAGCCAGTATGGCTCAGTGGTTGAGCATCAATCCATGCAGCAAGAGGTCACCAGTTCGATTCCAGGTCAGGGCATATGCCCAGGTTGTGGGCCCGATCCCCAGCAGGAGGCAGCTGGTTGATGATCTCTCTCATTGATGTCTCTATCTTTCCCTTCCTCTCTCTCTAAAAATCAATAAAGAAAAGAAAAAAAAGCCAAAGTGAGACTGTCCAAAAGGTATACATAAGGAAACTATTATTTACAAGTTATCTTTTAGCCTTAAAACATGTTCAAGCATTCCCTGATCCCTTTCTTGAACTAGCCCAGCAAATCTCGCTATTTTTGGGTCCATGCTGCTTCTAAGACTCTTCAGATGAAAGGTGCTTTGATGACTTGAGCCTCCGGGTCACCTCCGCCCGGACATTTTTTGTTAAGTGCTGCCTCCTGGCGGCGCTCTGCTGTCCGACACCTTTCTGGCCTGGTGGAGACCACTTTCCTTAATTTGGGATCTCGAAGCTGATGCAACAGCTCCCCGGAGGGGGCGGGAGTGGAGAACCACGGGGCTGGAGAGGCCCTACCGGGAGACCTTCCACTGGTTCCAAACGCGCCCTGCTCTCTTCCCTCCCCTACGGGGCTGCGCAGTCAGGGTCCCTCCTGAATTCCGGCCCGCTGTCTCGGGGCCGGAGGCGGGGTTGCCAGGGTTTGGGGCTCTCGCCCAGACCCCCGTCGGGCCGCCAGCTCGAGCTAGGTTGGGAGCGGGGAAGAGGAAGCTGAGCGTTCTTGGGGCGGAGGACGCGTCGAAGGGTGTCGCGGTCATTTTCATTTCCCAGGGGCAGCGCAGCTGGGCCCGAGCGCGGAGAAGGCAGGGGAGCGGGTTGCGGGGTGTTGCGGTTCTCGGCCCTTTGCGCCCTTCGCCCGTACCCACCACACCCCCCTCTTGTAGCGCTTCCTGGAGCCCGGCAGCGGCGAAGGCTGCTTGGCCAGGTGGGGGGAAGTGAAGGGACGCCGGTGGAATGGGGTCCTGGTCCCCCAAAGCAGAACCTGGTTCGGCCCCCGCAGGTAGACCTGGACCCGGGGAAGACCGAGCCCTTGAGATGGGCATCGAGGGCAGGCGGTGGCAGGTTCGGGGTACGGGAAGGCAAGATCTTGGGGCCGCAGACCTGGAACCGGGGTCCGAGAGGAAGAGGGAACCAAAGAGAGACGGCGGGTTGACGTGAAGGGGCCGGGCCGGGAG